GCCGGCTCTGACCCAGGGGAGCAGAACGCTTGGCCACTGATTGCCGCAGTAGCCGATGAGTCTTAATTAAAGTGACACGCTAGGCCTGGGTGTCCAAAACAATTGTGCACTTGGGGCTAAATGGTGCTGAAATCGATGTGCTTGTCAACACAATTACATTATGGGCAGAAGGAAGGGGGAAGTGAAAGGCGTGTGTTTGCATGTTGTGCTAAAGATACACAGAGCAGCGCAGTTAAAAGGTTTTGTATCGTCAGACTGGAGGTGGGGCAGGGGCAGAGCCCAGGGCGGCTGCTGTGAATGGCTGAGAGAGGATGGAAACCCATCCAGTTACATAACGGGATTTTCCTGAAGTGTGATGATGGGCATCTGGGTTTCTGTAGGCAAGTGCTATAAAAATTCAGGACTATTACTGTACCTGCACTGTGTTTGTGGAGGAATCATCCTGTGACACAAGCATGGTTACGGTATGTGACTAATGCAGGCATGACAAGTTCAGAACAGGGCCTTAATTGCTGGAAAAAATGTGACGTAAATTTAGTTTGTGCCCAATGAAGTAATATTTAGGAAATGGAAGTTAGGATTGCAGAGCAAGATTCCCAAATGTATAGTTACTTTCTGGATATAAAGTGCAAGCTAGTGTTCTTGGCTAATAAACTGCATGCTGATTTTAATTAAAAGTAAATTCTATGAAATATACATGGCTCAAAATATTTCTAAAAATAAAGGTTTGTGCAGTTGCCACTTGACTGATGTAGGGTGGTTACACACGACTTTGTTGACAGCCTTGTCTTGCATTGCTTTCACAGCTCCAGCAGCTCGACAGCCAAAGATCTGGAGACTGTAAAGACCAGTTTTACAGCTACTTCCCTCCCAAAGGAGACTTTAACATTTGGCTGTTTCATTAACATGTAATTAATAATTAACCTCAAATTAGGCAGCACTTTATGCAATCATACAGAAAGGTCTTCTATAATGCTATGTGATGTGAATTCCCCTTTCCTGTTTTTGAGGACATTTTTCAAGGTACATTATGTAGTGCAACTTGCTTATGTCTGATCAGACCAGTTTCTGTCCATTTTGACTACTATCCCCTGGCAGATTCTGACTGGCTCCTGATTCTAGCTGAAGCTGAAAGAACGAGGAAGCTTTCAAGCGGAGCTGCTGTGTAAACTGGGTTTCACAGAGGGCTCTGGGACGTGGAGGAGTCCTCTGATCCCCTGCCCGCTGCAATCTGCAGATCTCCTGTGCCCGGAGGCATGCTCTGCCTGCTCTGTGTTTAGGGATGGACAGAAAAAGCCAATCAAACGCAATGTTTTGTTAAGCCTTGCATTAGGCCCGTGGGTCTCCGGGCACAGGGGGCTCGTTCTCTTTGCCAGGCGCGTGAAGGTGGAAATTGTTTGCTAATTGTTTCAGAACCTGGCTTGTGACAAACCCTTTTCTTGCCAAGTGTAGGCATGGGTTCAAGCATCTGCGTACCGTGGCTTCTTTAGCAGCATGTAAACCTGGAAATGGGCCTGAACCATCTCTCCCTGTGTCCAGTACATGACTCTTCTACCGGGGAAAGTGCTTGTATTCTTATACTTTTAGTTCTCCAAGGTCCTAGTATTGAAACTAAAACCTCACAATGTAAGTGAAGGTCAGTGTCAGTTGTGCTGTAATAGGACTGGGTTTGTGAAAGCAGTTCTATAATCCTTGGTAGGCAGAGCATTTATCTCACCCCTGTATACACTGTATGACAGTGTATTTCAGAGATTGCTAATGGGAAGCAAGGTATTGGCTGTTCTCTTTCAAAACAGAATGTACTGAATGGTAATATTTAATTATTTAATCATGGATACCTGGGTTGCACAAATGCAGTAGTAACTAATATTTGTGGAGCTCAATACCACCTGTTGATATAATGGATAGCTTTATTTAATTGCTGATGAAATCTTCTGCCTGGACAACCCTGCAAGACTTGCTGGCTTTCCAGATGGGGTCGCCTTTGAGCAGCTGGCAACTGCAGAGCAGCCATGACTGGGCGTTCTCCATGATGTTGGCGCTGCAGTGACGCAGCTCAGGTTCCATGACTGGGTGTTCTGCATGATGTTGGCGCTGCAGAGACGCAGCTTGGGCTCACAGTCAGGCACCGGGACCACCCGGAGCACTGCAGTTCAGCACTGTACTGGACACTTCTTTAGTTTAATACAACAATTCCAAATCCCGACCTGTTAAAAAATGTTCAGCTTTGGAAACTGATAAACCCCAGTTTCACTAAAGCACTGGGAAGAAAATGGACTTCCGGTGTGGATTTCGTAGGAAACACAACATCTCCCAGCCAGCAGCGGGGAAAAGCAAAGTGCACTCTGTCCCTCCCTCTCTCCCCGACTCGCTGTCAGCTGCTCAGTCTCGTGTGCCTGCCAAGGGCCTGTTATTGAAGGTTCTAAACTATCTCAAGTGCACTTTTAAGAAGAACTGGAGAATGATAGTAAGAGACGAGGGAAGGGCTGCTAACCAGGCACGTCTGAGCAGCAGGGCGGACTGGTGTAATTAATACCCTAACACTGGATTACACACTAACAACACTCTTCCTCCCCACTTCACATGCAGTGATCAAAGATATGCGTTGTCTTTCTTACACATTTTGTACATTTAAAACTTGCCTTCTGAAAACCAAGAGGCAGGAAACATTGAAAATCCTCTTGCCCTCATTCTGCCTTCGAGGGTTTTAAGACAGCTGGTGGCAGAGGGTTGACCAGGAACAGGCCTGCACTGCCAATGGCCCGGCTGGTGTTCAGAGCTGTGGGTCCTGCGAGGACCAGCCCTGACACCTGAGCGATGTCTGTGTAAAGATATAGTGGGGAAAGGTGTCTCTTGTAAAAGTTCCGTTGATTACTGCTCCTGCACGGCCCTGTCTCCTGTCACCTCTCCAGTTCTCCTCTGTCAGCCAGCTGCACGAAACCCCTGTAGACAGTAAGACAGCAATTAAATGAAACCACTAAAATATTATTTTGCACCTCATTTCTTTTTTTAGAGTGGGTCACAGTGCTGCTTAAAACTTCATCACACCTCTAAAGTTAAATTAAAAACTAATGTTTTTTTTAGCAGCTGACATTTCAAATTGGCTCCAATAACTTCTGCTGGACTGGTCAGGTGACCAGGGGTGATGGGTGATCTGGAGGGTGTCGTTGGGGCAAGTTCCTCCATCCTGCCCCACCGTGCCTCCCCATTGCAGTAGCACAATCTGTTGCAGCTGTCTGTGGGTCAGAATTGTGTGCATGGGCTGTCCCAATAGAGTTGGGTCAGGTGACACTTGTATGACAGATGAAAGTGTATTAAAGATTAATAAATGTCTTTTATTAAAGGGAAAATGTTGCATGATGACCCTCAGAGAACCAGCCTGAAAGCCGGATTGCCAAGCTCTTGATTAGTGCAGCTGCTGGAGAAGTAGTGTTTCTAACGCACAAAAGATGAGCTGTTGTAATATTCAGCATGCCCAAGAGAGTGTAATCACTCACTCACCAACATGTAAATGTTAAATTATCAACAAGTTGTTTTTTTGGCAGACCTCTTGAAAGCAATTTGTTTAATGAAAGATTTGTGAGCGAAATGTCAAATAGACTAAATGTAGCAATCTGCAATTTAAATAATCCCTTATAGAAAACAAACTTATAAACACATCCTCCTGCTATCTCTTGCTTTTATTTTAAATTGAATATTAGTAGTTTATGCATTAAGTATTTTATTTCTGGGATGAGTTCTTCTATTAAAGAAATGCATTTTTAGTCATGAGAGGTGGTCTGGAACTCCAATGGGACAGCAGCTCCCTTGTCCCAGTGACGCTGGCTGGGTTATACTGTTCTGGCAGCTTCAGTGGGAGTCAGGGACACGGCTGCTGGCATCAGATTATCTTGTGCATCGTCAGGGACCCCCCATCAAGCACAGATGTCTCCCCTCGACAGCTGTTGTCGGCTTGTTTTTACAAATTAATTGAGAAAAGCAACTGCCTGTGCCAGGATGAGAGAAAGGAAGATGCTGAGGTTTTTCCACAGAGGTTCGTGGATCCTGTGAGCTGATTCTCCTACAGAGGTCCTGCAGGAGAAGCTCATTCATGCATAAAGAAAGAAGCAAATAACCTCTGGAGACTCAGTGTTCCAGCTCAAGGGATCAATGGAAAATTAATTGATTAATTAATGTTAAAATGTTGCTAATGCACAAAGCATATATAAAAAAGGAAATAACTGAGGATACCTAGAATGATTTGTGCTTTGATTAATTTTAAAAGATTTCAGATACCAGCTGGACTGTAGAACAGGGCAATCAGAATTGTAGTTAAACCTGAAATCATTAAACGCCTTTGCCTGGATGCACAGCTTCCAGTTGTTAGTTTATTCAAATTGCTGTCAATGGGACTCCTGTGGAGCAAAGGCACTTAACACCCTGCCCTTCTGCAGGAGAGGAGTCTCTCTCAGTCACTGGGAGAAGCCAGTCCGAGAGCTCAGCATCAGATCAGCAGTATGAGCTCACAAGGGCCTCTTAGAAAATGAAGTGTAAATGTTAGCCTCCACATGAGATGAGATGATTTCTCAATCATCAAATAGTGTAACTGTGCTGCACCTCTTTCAGGTCAAAAGTCCAGCCTTAATTAGAGCTGTGACAGCAGTGTGGCAGTGCTTATATCTTGCAGCTTTTGGGTCCTGGGTTCAATTCTGGGCTGGAGTCTGCATGGTCCATGTGGGTTTCCCCTGGGTGCTCTAAACATGTTGGATGGGTTGTTGAGTGTTTGTGTGGGATGGACTGGCATCTGTGATTCCCTCTTCAGTTGTGCAATACTCTGATTCAGACTCAGATATACAGCAGTCTCTCACTTGCACCTGTGTATTTTTATTTCCTCATCCCATCACAGGAGCTGCTGAAGCTAAGTCTTGTTAGAGGTTTGTTTTGCTGCAGTTGATTGGAGGACAATGGTGGGAGATATTTTAAAAGTCTGTTTGAATTGGTCTCTGCATTTGCTTTCACAGATTAGTGACCAGGGTGGGGACTTGGAGCACATGTGTGCATCGACACTGGATTTTACAATTGATCTACAACACACAGCTCTGGTGTCTTCTGACAGATCATTGATGAGGTAAAAAAATTGCCTTGTTTGAAGTGGGAAGATATGGAAGGCAGCTGGCGCTCTGCTCACCCAGAGCTTCACTCAACAGAGTCGTGCTTTGTGTAAGAGCTTTCTGTATTGTATCTCTGTATCGATTCTCAAATACCAGGGAGGGACGGAGAGCGTCTCTCTGACTGTGCTCTCCAGAGTTAAGACAGGCTGAGACTAACAGATTTACCATGCACGTTCCTGCTGAGGGATTGCTGCTCTTATTTATAGCTCTTTAAGAGCACTCTTCCCACGGAGCAGGGAGGAGCATGTGCTGAGGAATGAAATCCCAGCAGCCCCAGACTGGCCCTTCTTCATTCAGACATTGCTTCCTTTGGTCTACTGGGACACTGCTGGCCCAACTCTACCAGAAGCTACAGGGTGACTGATGTGGTGCACTTTGCTCAGGTTCAATTTCACACCAATTCCTGCAGCTCCCAGCACGCTGAAGGGAACAGCCAGGAAAACAGGCAGCTTGACCACATCGCATCACCAAGCTGATATAGACTCATCTGCAAGCTCAGGCACGTGAGACTGTCAGGCGGAAGGCTGGTGTTTAAACCCTGGACGCGGACATGTGTGGAAACGCTTGATTTCTGTTTTTCTTTTTCCAATTTAATGGATAGGCTCACTCAGTCAGACAGTTACATATTCAGCTTTATTCTTCTCTATTGTAGATGTCTTTTGTTTTCAATATATAATAATACATTAATGCAACTATTGCCTTAGTGTGATTAGTTGCCACACTTTCAGTCCCTGCTGAGCTGTTCTCAGCTACAGGAGCTAGACAAGTCAAGGAGGAAGGAGACAGAGATGCAAGGAGAGATGTCTGTGAGGAGCCCAGGGTGAGCTGTGCTCTGGAGCCTGATCTCAGAGCCTCACAGTGGCTTCCAGGAGTCTGGGCTGGACTTCACATTCACAAGCTAAGCTCTCGCATCCGTGGGCATCACTTTTCACACCCTTGATTTCGAGTTTGCCCACAGGTCCGTGTTCCTCTGCCAGCCCCGGAGCTGCATCAGTCAATCTAAACGAATCCGATCGGAAGTCTCTGTGCATCTTTCCAAAGCCCTTCTTTTTCCCCACTGTCACAGCCTGCAGAGAGGCTGATCTCCAGCCAGATTCCAGCTTAGTCACTGGGAGAGTTAACTGTCACTGTGAGGGACCTCAGACGCCACTGAGAGGCAGACAGGAATGAGGAAGCACTCAGGCACAATGAAACAAGCTCCCTCTGAGTTTCTCATGTCACTCCCTTCAGGCATATGGAATTAGAATAAATTATTAAAGAGGAATATTTTGTTTTGGGATCAGACACTTGAGCGCACTGGAGCTTGACGTTTCTGTGTAAACTCAGTGTCTCCATCATGGCAACGAGCTGAATCTGAAAGGAAGCTCTACAACACTGACTTGACAATCCAGTCCTGCTAAAATGAAAAAGCAGGCCCTGGAAGAGTCTGCTCTTGAAATGTTTTCATATTCATCCCTTTGGTCTCTTTGACCACAGCATCACATAAAACTAGTGCCAGCTTTATTCTTTCCCTTCAGAATTGTACCCTTCAGAGCTCAGATTATTCTCTCCCAGTCTGCACTCATAACTCACCCCAGGGATCAGCACGGCTCTGAACCTGCTCTGACTCCTCTAGTTCTAGGCCGTGCGACGCGGAGCTGTGCAGTATTCCAGATGTGGAGGAACAGCAGCACTGTAGAGGTTCAGCATCACCGCTCTTGGCATTACTGAGCTGCGTTGTCTTTAGCTCTTGCATGCTTCTGCTTCCTGTCTCTGTGCAGGTGGCTGTGTAATTAGGTTTTGTGTTTCCTTTTCCTGCACATGCAGCATATTAATATAAAAACCCATTTACATCCCTGCAGGTGGAAATTGCTCTTAATAGCATGATCTAGATGGGACGTGTGTGTGGGATTGTTTTGCGGAGCGGTATGGCTGTAGCTCCTGCCCTGGCTGTCACAGCGAGGTTGAATTCGCCCGCCGCTCACTGGTGTCCGGAGTGGGGATGGAAGAGAGCTGCCAAGTAACAGCACAGTCCTCGGTTCCCGCTCTCCGGATCTCCCCAGCTCCACGTAGATGCGTCTCGAACCCGGGTCTTTCACTGCGTGCTGCCTTCTCACCCGACGTGGGGTCTCTGTGACTGAAGCGCTCCCGGCGCTGAAGAGGCTGGGTGTTTGAGCGGAATCAATCCTGAATCTGAAGCTGCTAGAGAGGCTCCTTTTCCACTCTTCGAAGGAGGGAGCGGAGAGGGACAGTTAATCTGACTCTGGCATCTTCAGGAAACCTTTAATGTGCAAGACTTAGTTCTTCATCGCTTAATTAGTTTTATAAGTTGAAGGATGTGTTTGAAATTACTAATCACTTACATGTTTTGAATAAATAGGTTGACACAAGCCCTTTAGATTCAATGCTGCTATTTCAAATAAAGGTTTGTAATGCGTTTTCTTTTGAGTTTATATTATTTTCCTGGTCCTTTATCTCTTTCCTGTATGGTGATATTTAAATGTGCCTTCTGTTCTGTTGCAGTACACGGAACTGGAACAAAACAAAGAAAATCCACAAATATACAAATCTAAGAAAAGCTGGTGTTTGGTTTCGATATTTTATGCAAATTGAGGACCTGTCCGCTGAAATGAAGCAAGTCCAGTTATTGTGCAGTGAGCCCGGAGGACAGGACAGCTTGATCTCCTGGCGAGAGGCAGAGAATCAAGACCAAGCTCTCGGGCGCAATTGCCTTCAGTAGTTTCCACCGGGAACCCAGTTGACATGACTTAGCTCTGCAGCAGAAACAATTAAACGCATCCTCGCGCGGGCGGGCATAATTGAATTCTCACATCCGTTAGCGTTAATCACTCCACACTGCGGACAGGCCGGGGATGGATACGAACTGGTCAGCGTCCCTTCAGGACTGGAAGTGACTCATCCCTGGGAGCTCATTTGGTAGGGAGCTGAAGAGTGCTTGGCTTTCTGCTTCTGTTTTTTTTTTCTTTGGAAAATGTTCTAGTGGTTTTGCTGAAAAAAGGCAGGATCTTCACCGGGATATTTTTACAGGAAAGGGGTAGCGGAGTCACAGATAATCCTGACCTGCACTAGCAGGGCTCCCTGTGAGGTCCTGATGTCTGTCCAGCGCTCCTCTCATGTCCACTGTAGTCCGGCCCTCACCTGGCAGCATGCGCAGGAAATCCCAAGAGTGTCCCTGCCCTGATCCGCGTTTCACGCTTCAGGTCTGGTTTGAAGGTACTTTTCCGGAGTGCAAACTTGGGAGGCGCATGATGACACAGCTCCTGGGCACTGCAGGGGTCTTTCCCTCTCTGTTACTGTATGTGTACGGACCCCTGAAGCCTCATCTGAATAAATCCTTCAACTGCTACCACCGCCCTCTGTTCCTCTTACTTCATGATGTAGAGGGGCTCCTCTCAACCTGCAGTCCCTCAGTCCTCAGCCGAACGTGTTGAATGGGATAGTTAGTGTCGTGATCATTCTCCGTTGAGGAGATGACTAGCAATTGCAGCTCTCGTGGTGTTAAAGCGCTGGAATGCTGTGGCCAAGTAACCCTGGTTTCTTGAGAAGATGGCAGAGTGAGGGCCCTAGTCACAGCCTCCTGTGTCTTCACAGCTGGGCTGTCAAGGGAGACGGTCGGTTTGCAACGTATTGGGCTGCAGACTCTCTGGGTTTGAAAAGGTTATAGTGCTGATGAGGTCTACTGACCTGGGGCAACATTTCTAGCAGTTTCTGATTTTTAGGCAGTGCAAACATTTACAAAGACCCCTTAACCGATTACTCTACCCTTGAAATTAGATATTAGAGCTTGTAGTGGCAGGGAGGCATGCTGGGAAGTCAGGGTTGCTATGGACACCTGCACTCTTGCTGGCGTCATCGGTCTTTGGTCTGTCCCGGGCCTGTGAAGCATCCTATTACTGCCCTCCCTTGGTCAGGGCGATAGGCCAGCGCAAAAACAAGTCATCAGTGCTAGTGCTCCTAGATTGTCCCGGGTCTGATCCCCTGCCCCTGATGCAATCATGACAAATAATCCCAGCAAGCATGTCAGGTCAAGACTCCCTGGAAATTAACCTAAACTTGATTTTCCAAGAAAATTCACAGCTTTCAAAAAAACAAGTGCCGCTTAATGGGTAATATTGGTACAAGTCTAAACCAAAGGAGAAAAAATCCCAGGTTTAATTTATTTCTGAAATCAGGCAGGGTTTTTAATTGTTTCTGTCTGTTGTTTTTGCAATCAGGCAGGCCAGCCCTGTTACCTCGGGTGCAGTCTGCTCTTCAGAGTGAGCGCGACGTTGGGACAAATGGCCTTTGGCTTTGCCTGGGATACAGCAGACGACAGAACAGAGTGACGGGAACAGAACAAGGTAATTATTTCCTCGTCCAGCTGGCCTGCAGATTCTCGCAAAGGTCCCACTTTAAACATTTCTCGCTGCTGACTTTTTGATTGCCACAGTGACTCATGTTCATGTTTAGAATCCAGACACAAATCTCATTTGAAACTCCTCTGTGGCTCAGCACTGGTGTGCCCACAGAGCCCACAGGCGTCCACATTCCATCACACATGCGGAGCGGTGGCAATGTGGCTAAGGATCTGTGCTTGTGGCCTGAAGGTTGCCGGTTCAAATCCTACAGCCAGCAGAGGAATCCTACTCTGACGTGACTAATAGTGTCGTCGGTGTTATCTAACAGGCTGACGCCACAGGTGTCTCATCTGTTCACAGGCTTAATTCAGGTGTTTGTGAATTTCATCTACATGGAATTCTCTTTAAAAAAAACAGGGAAACGGGTACAGGGAATTGAATTCTCTGGAGGGACGATAAAAAGGCAGACAGTTTTGAGGTATGAATTTAAAATTGCAGAATTTAAATCCAGGCTTATTAAGTATGTCACAATTTTACAATACACTAGCAAAACCTCATTTAAAATATTTGTAGAAAATGTGGTCACTGGATTCCAAAAATCCTGGGATTGTTAGCAAATAAAATTTGAAAAAAAAACTATAGGGAGTGCCAAACTGAGCCCACACTAGGGGAGTCGCAGAAAGACTCCGACAGAGACAGGGCTGGTGAGGAAGAGGCTGGAAGCTGAGAGCTCCTGGAAACCCAGGGACTCGTGACGAGACGAGGGAGACCTGATTGCTCTGTGGCCTCAGGAAGATGATGTGGTGAGGATATTGGTGTTAAAAGCAGGGCTGGGCAACTTGTTCCAGACTCCCACAGACCTTCGGGTAAAGAAGTGGCTTCCGTTCTCAGTTTCAAATACACTCCCACAGAGTTTCTTCTGGTTCGTATTTCACTGTTCATTCAGGAGAAATCTTGTTTTTGTTAATACTTGTATCGATATCTTCATAACCTTCTCTATTCAAGACTCATAGAGACTGCCATTAGGTGCCATTCCTTCATTCCAACATTGGGAGCTCCAACACTGTCAGCAGCACACACTACAGAAATGCAAGGGCAGAATCTGCAAGACTCAAGGGAACTGTAGATTGTCTGTGCCATTCTGCAATACTGTAAATCAAAGCACAATTAGTGCCCCATTTATGAAGCTTTTTACAGATCCAAATAAATGACAGGTAGTCTTCCCCTGAGGTTCTATGGTTTCCAGGCCAGAACCATCAGAGTGGTCTGGTTCTAGACATGGTTAATGTCAGCACATAACTGGCAAGCCATTTAAAAAAAGACATTATTTTAAACATTAAATTGCAAATCCCTTACAACATTTTTCTTATAAATGACAAAGCATGATGACAAATTGTTTGAATGAGTCCCTGGAAATGCGCCATTCGTTTCTTCCCCACTCTCCAGCCAGTAGAAGAAAACCTCTTATAAATATTTGTTTCAAGTACTTTTTTTGTGTGCTCTCAAAGCTCAAAGTGCCAAATAGCTTGTGCTTCTCTGCGTTGTACTTCAGAAGTCCTGGGCTGCAGGTGATCATACCTGTGTGGTTACGACATCATCTCCTGTGAAGACTATGATCTTAATTAACAGTCCACATTAGCAGTGGTAGCACATCCTGTAGATGAACTGCTTCCACTGTTTGAAAAGAGATTAGACTTTGTAACAGACTCTGCAAACACAGGGCATTATCTGTATTCTTCAAGACCTGCAGCTATCTGCCAGTATTCATTCTGGAGACACTCCACCACACTGCTCCCTCTGCCACCAGAGGGTCTGCACTGCTGGGGTAAGTCTGTCCCCGCTCACATGAGTGCTTTCCATTACACTTGGCACAGAGCTGTGCGTAAGTGCAAGGTGAAGGCAAATATTTTGACAGTCGTGATTCACCATTATGCTGAAACTCTGAGGTAAATTATGCCCAGTTCTCAAGAGCTCTGGCTCTGCAGAGCCACAGGCAGAAGCAGGAAAGGTCAGTGGATAAAAGCTGTTAATTGCGAGACAGGGCTCTGTGTTTTCACCTCCTCCCCTATAACAACCTGCACACTTCTCACGTCCACTCTAATGAGGATCATTAATCACACTTAAGACATTAACGACACTACTCCCCCCCGAACCAGCAGACAGGATTTCGGAGAGCACTACCCTGATGCTTGGCTGAATTGCTGGGGGCAGAACAGCGAGGCTGCTGTGAGGATTAGGACAGAGAGTTTGCCAGTTGCTTGACTTGTGAGGCTGTTGTACAGGCAACTGAGGAAATAGTCTTCTCCATTCATTCCAGGTAGAGGAAGGCATGCTCCTGTGTGTGTTTACTACAGAAACAGTAACTCTGTGAGTGCAGAACACTACATATTAGCACTGTAAAACACACAGAACAGCCAAGGGAATCTACAGAAATCTTCATTTCGAACAGCGGTGGTAATATTTCACAGGAGGATAAGCAAGCACGGCTAGTTAAGAAGCCCAGAGAGTGGACTTTTCCAGTGGTCAGTTGATCTCTGTCAAAGGGCCTGGCTGGGGGCAGTGCTTCACTCAGTGGCACTCGAACCCGGAGCACAGTGCTGCTGTACAGCTCCCCACTCCCTCTCTGGGTCCCCTCCTCTCTCTACAGTACTGCAGTCTGCCTTATATCACACAAATCAGGCCTCTTCATGCACTGACAGGCTTCCAATCCAGGAAGAAGAAAAAGTGTCCCTGGAGAAACATCCCATATTTTCCTGTTTCTATGCCTGCTGCATTTCTGTATCCAAAAGAGGATTCACACAGATCTGTAGATAGCATTCACTCTGTTCTGTTGATAGAAACAGACTTTAACTTAGGTCGCATGTTACTGTGGTCAGCAATTCTGCTTTACACCTCCACAGTCCTGGGTTCGACTCTAGAGTTTTCATGTTTTTCCCATGTTTCAGTGGCTGCCCCTCCCAAAGACATGCAGGCGGGGTTTGTTGGTTACTCTAACCTGTCCCTTGCTTTGTAATCAAGGGGTTTTCATGCTTAGGACGTTTCACAGTGCAGCCACTATCTGCTCTGAGACTCTGGAGAAGCAG